GATGAGCCAGTAACTATGGCATGGTTAGTGATGAGCCAGTAACTATGGCATGGTTAGTTAGTGATGAGCCAGTAACTATGGCATGGTTAGTTAGTGATGAGCCAGTAACTATGGCATGGTTAGTTAGTGATGAGCCAGTAACTATGGCATGGTTAGTGATGAGCCAGTAACTATGGCATGGTTAGGGATAAACATGGCGACCGTTTTCACCAGAGCACTGCTACAATGGAAGAAATGATACCAAGGAAATTAGACCACTTCCGTGCTGGCTGACTGCTGTTGGACACATGTCAGGGATGTTCTTGAGTAGCTACACAGATGTCAGGCAAAGTGGTGTAGGAAGTAGAAGCGGTCTTGTACTGGTATGTGTCATGTATCTTCTTATTGGTTACCTGCTCAGTCACTGCCAATCAATAGAGGATGAACAGAACATGGGACATCCTGTTTTGGAATCAAATAATTTATATGTTGCTTTTTGTGACAAATTTATGTGGATTCCTGGGAAGTAAAGGCAGCAGGCATAAAGTTGACCACATCATCTATGAAATGCAGATTGGTCTATAAAAAAGATGTCTTGCCCTATATGCCCAATACGCCTACAGGCGTGGGCAAGGGTTCTTTACTTTACTTACTCTATTATATATAAATATTTTGCCTTTTAGATTTCTCAGAAACAATCAAATGTTGCCTTTTCATTGTTATATTCATGCCCAGGACATAGACACTTTCTACAGAGTAGTAATCATTCTCTGCAGATCCCTCTGACTTGCCTTGAAGATGTAACTGAAGTTAACTGTATTATGTCCATCAGTTACATTGGATACAAAAGAAGTCCACCAATTGCACTGACATGGAAGATGAAGCCCACCAATCACAATTCAAGTTTATATTTTATATAAAATTGTAGGCAAATTACTTATCACATACATTCATGCCCTTTCACACATCTTAGTACCGGCAGTGAAAAACGCAACAACCACAGGAAGGTTTCTAAACAAGGTTGCAGAGAACTGTATTTGTATAAATATTGATAATAAACAAAAACTGTCTGAATCACTAGCCCTCACTCAACTAAATATCCAGCAAAGGCTTTAATGTTTTACCACAAACAAATACAGGTCACAATAGAGTAAAATAGCCAGCATCAAAACACAACTAAGTTTGTACAGTAGCACACACAAGCAGGGCATAGGCGGAAAGTAAAAGCAGTCAGATAAGCAGATTCTACTGCAAACATTGCGTTACATTTTCAACACAACATTTCTACAGTATTATTATTAGAAAACTGATTGCAGTCGAAATTGTAATCGTTCTAAGGGTAAATGTATGAAGCTATAGATAAAAAACAGCAAAAAGATAAATAAAATAAAATGTGTTAAATGGTAGAATCTGATACGTGATATGGCTACATGAAGGGGTAAGAACAGGCTGGGATACTGAACGTCTTGTACATGCCAGCTAAGCTGGTTTGTATTGATGAATAATTAATTATAATATGTGATGCCTATGAAAGATGGAAGAAGTGTGGCAAAGCAAGAGGATAGCCAAGTTTCTACATATGTTTCACATGCCGTGATATTTCAGGGGCAATAGGTTCACATTCAGTAACTTCTGATTTCGTACAACCACCCTTATCTTCTTGCTTTAAAATGTTCACTGTTTAAAAAACAAACACAAATTGCTATTTATGTGTCTCAGATGAAAGTGACGGGACACATTTCACTTGTAATTGTAACTCTGTAAGGATCTTTTCTAGAATAACTAGTGACTTGTGTATGACATCTGAGCTGTTGCATGCTGCCTGGTGTGTGTCAGAGACTATCTACAGATGGAAACACAGCTGTTCATCAGTGTGACTCATCTGTGTGCATGTTTCATAGTGACAACCAGGCATGGTACCATACTTATTAGAATTTGTGTAATCATTCTTGAAACATGTGATGTTAACAAAAGAAAACAAATGCAGATGTTTTCAATTCTTGTTTATGTGTCCATTAGGGCACCCATATCTGTTGCAGGGTTTCAGCTAAACATACGGCCTTCGTTCCATCACATGGGGGCAACAGTTTGGTTTATGTGTCTGTTAGGGCACCCATATCTGTTGCAGGGTTTCAGCTAAACATACGGCCTTCGTTCCATCACATGGGGGCAACAGTTTGGTTTATGTGTCTGTTAGGGCACCCATATCTGTCGCAGGGTTTCAGCTAAACATACGGCCTTCATTCCATTACACGGGGCAAAAGTTGAGAAACAACATTTCTAGACATTTAAAATAAGTAAATAAATGTATTTGTGTACTATTGCACCTTTGGAAAATGTCATTTATAGCATCATCAGCCACAATTTGTTAAAAATATGTGCACAAAAGTTATAATGAACACAGGAAAATTTATAAGTAAACAATATGCATGAAAAGTGATAAAAGAGTTTGTGTTTACAAAAATGCAGACATCCTTGTTAAAATCAGAAGCATTTGATTGACGTCAATAACTTTGAGAAAAACACAAAAATAATTAATTACAATAAAAAAAAATATCATGTGTGAAATGAGTAATCAGAGAGTCACAGATATTTGACAGCAAACATGGCTGAAAATCCCCTGAGATACCACAGATCACAGAAATACAAACAAGACATCACACTGACAATCACAGCAGTTAGATTTCATGGTAATAAAACACTGCTTGAAATTATATTTGATAAATCACAGATTTCTCACCATTTATTGGAGACAACATGGTGGACTGATGAAATTATCATCACTACCATCATGCTGTGCCACTGATAAACCACATCTGGTTCACCAATGATTCACCCACTACATTCTGTCCTTGCAATCATTTTAAAATTGTGTTTGGAATCATGTCCGACACCGCTGGCCTCTGCCAGGTTTCCTCCTGGATGTTCTCACTTCCACACTCCATTTGTTTTCTGACTTCAGAGCCAGTTTTGTGATTATTTGTAAATTTCCTCTGGTACTAATAAAATACACATTAAGAAAAGGCCATCAGTTCCATAGATGGACAAAGAACTGGTGCATGGTGACAATATTCTTATAATGTGAATCTGTTGGTTTCTTTCACATACGATTAATTTATGCCATCTAAAAAAATTGTCTGCTTCATTTCTAATTTCCTGCAATCACATAAACAGACAGGGGAATTTCAGGTAACATACAGCAGATACTAAACATCAGTGAATTCAGACAGTACTTCACAAATTATGTTCAGCTGGTAAAAAACATAATTTTTTGGGACTAAATTATAGGAAAAAGCAACTGAAGCACTTTGGCAATCTGTCTCTGGTAAGTTGTCACTGAATCCAAAGAAATGGATGACCTGTGGTAAGCTGAAAGGCAGCAGTCATCTTCTCCATGGTGCTTTAGCTAACATTATGGGACTTCCCAGATCTGATCCACCTGCTTGAATCTTAACCTCCACCAGATTAGTCTTGTCTAGGAGACATTCTGACAGACAGTCCCGGAGAACATGAACGACAAAAGAGCTGTGTTGTTTGCTGACTGTTTTCAAAGAGGACATGTCCATCCATCAGTCCTAGAGTGGGGTTAGAGGTGGGTGACGACCATCCTGAGCCTGGAAATTTCTGTGGCAATGAGGACAGAGAGGTGCTGACTGTTGATCATACGTAGGTAATTTGACTAAATTGTTCATACTCTATGCCTCTGTGTAACTTCCTTGATTCTGATCATACAGAGGTAATTTGGCTCAATTTCTTTTAATGATATGCCTTTTGTTGACTTCCTTGATTCTGATCATACAGGTAATTTGACTGAATGTTAGTTTAGCATGCCTCTGTGTAACTTGCTTGATGCTCAATTGTCCTGAAGTCCGTTAGAAAATAGACTTCACCATGCAGCTGCACACACAGATGAGAACAAGATTTCTGCAGACTGACACTTGAAAAAATATCAAGAACAGAAAACAAACTGAAAAGAATGCATCTCAAGCAAATAAACTTACAGGCTCATCAGGCAAAGACAGCCAGTCATGTTTTGCTGTTGACACCCAACTGAGAGTATCTCTACAGTATAATGAGATCTGACAACAAGAACACTATAATCTGAAATCTGTCAACAAGAACTGTAGAAAAATAACAGTAGGTACACACACATGATAACAAGCAACAGTTGTTCAAGAGAGTTAACAGAATAACCACCCAGACGTACAAAGTTCAGTTGAGAAATATCCTGTTAATATCTCAGACTAGTATCACGAGTATAGTATATGTAAACATATATAACATAAAATAACAAGCGTCTGTTAGAACTTTACCCAAAATAACATGCTTTTATAATAAATTATATTTCACGTGTTATTATTGTAAGAGAGTTCTTACGTATCAGATCTAAGCACTCTTGTCAAAAGAAAAACAACAAACCATATTCATGAACAAACATGAGATGTGTAAATATTTATTTATTGTTTATTTCAGTAGAACATGCAGATATGCCTGCAGGTAGATGACAAAACTAGAACTGCAGTGCTGACCATCTGCTAATGGCTTTGACCAGCTGAAGAAAAAAATCTGGCAGAGAATACTTAACAAAATTTTTCTCTGATGCATTTAATCTACAGAAGATTGGATCTATTAACTAACTGTTTGTTTGACATTGTGTGTGTTTTGTACATCTTGTCTTTGTTTGCAATAATCAACTGACCACCTGTCATTATTTTAGAGAAATGACAGCAATAGCTGACTTCAACAATATGGTGGCCATGAGCAAATATCTAGACACTGATCCATCTTGCCATCAACACATTTGGGCAACAACATGGTGACACTGACCCATCTTGTCAGCACATTCTAAGACTCATGTTTGCCACATACTCGACAATGAAAACAATTAAAATAATCTAACAAGCTACAGATTCTAATTTCAAGTTAGAGAAAAAAGTGTATCTCCCATAAGGTAATGTGTTGCTTCTCCTCTCAGTGACGTCTGCAGGATGTGTGTTGTAAACAGTTCTCTCCCCTACAGCTTACGAGTAAAGCGTGGTTTGGATAAACTGAAATACAAAAGTGGAAAATGGGTGATGTTAATGTATGGCATCAACTCTGACAGTCTTATTCTGTCTTGTTCTGTTTTTGTCTGATATGTCTGTCAGCAGACATAAGATAACAGTATAAGTTTTCTTCCTTGTCATAAAGTGTCATGGAAGGTTTTTGTTTTCCTCTCAAAGATTCTTTGTCACTGCAAAATCTCCTCCACGTTACTGAATCATTTGAATGCAGGTCTTAACCACACTTTGGAATCAGCTATTGTTTTCGATCAGTGTAGGAAATTAGCAGTGAGTCATGTTTGAATCTCATAAGTATTCAATACTACTTTAGCCTTTGACTTTCTGTTTCTCAATAGATTCTCTATACAATACTGTCCCATTTTTCTTCTGATATTTTTAATTTGGTCTGTTCTGGTTGCACTGTCAACTGATCTGGTAGCATGGTCAACTGATCTGGTTGCACTGTCAACTGATCTGGTGGCATGGTAAACTAATCTGGTGGCATGGTCAACTGATCTGGTGGCATGGTCAACTAATCTGGTGGCATGGTAAACTAATCTGGTGGCATGGTAAACTAATCTGGTGGCATGGTCAACTGATCTGGTGGCATGGTAAACTAATCTGGTGGCATGGTAAACTAATCTGGTGGCATGGTCAACTGATCTGGTGGCATGGTAAACTAATCTGGTGGCATGGTCAACTGATCTGGTGGCATGGTCAACTGATCTGGTGGCATGGTCAACTGATCTGGTGGCATGGTAAACTAATCTGGTGGCATGGTCAACTAATCTGGTGGCATGGTCAACTAATCTGGTGGCATGGTCAACTAATCTGGTGGCATGGTCAACTGATCTGGTGGCATGGTAAACTAATCCGGTGGCATAGTCAACTGTTCTTGAACATCTCATTTTACATGTAACACTAAAATGTGTAACACTAAACATGCTTGAAGGGAGTTAATACTTACACTGTCAATATCATAAGGAGCAAAGCCAGTGTTCTGAGGATCATGTCCCCTGAAAGATGCTGTGAATGAGACAATGTTTAGAGAATATTAGTTATCATAAACTTGTCACATATTGAGCAACGTGGGTAACTGTATAGGATATGTCATTGCAGACCAACATTTGTAGACACAGATAGTAGTTAGAGGAAGCCATGTTGAGGTCACAGGGAAGGTCAAGGATGCCAGATATGAAAGAACTGAAGTCATATAGATTAAATGGCTGCAATTTGATGATCCATCGAATGAACATAAAATGATCATTTCCAGTCAACAGCAGGAAGGCTTTTAGGGGATGATCTCTTCGGACTACAAGCAGACGTCAGTTATATGGAATGCCTGGCACTGTGCCTATGATAATTGGTTACAATATATTTGATAAAGGGTTAGAGAGATAATTTTATAATTTATGTCTATTTGGAGAGAGATAAGACATTACTGTGTGATGTAAACATTTAATTCAATATTTGTAAAGTTATTTTAATAGGTGGAATGTGACAGCCTAAATCATAACTACGTTTTTTTTAAAAATCAAAGAATGATTGTATTGCGCAGGGCAGTATTTGTCTCTTACTGAAAGGCAAAGAAAGTATCATAATACTTTAGATAAAAAGAAACTGAAATAAACTGGAATTTATGTTAAATATGGTGAAATGTTAAAATAAAATATTTAAAAAAAAGTAACCGTAAAAGTCACTTTACACACTACAAGGTGACGCATAAGGCATGTGAGGCTAGACTCATACTTTTATAGACTGGACAGTCCTTGATGTGGTCAACATCACACCATACTTTTATAGACTGGTCAGTCCTTGATGTGGTCAACATCACACAATACTTTTATAGACTGGACAGTCCTTGATGTGGTCAACATCACACAATACTTTTATAGACTGGTCAGTCCTTGATGTGGTCAACATCACACCATACTTTTATAGACTGGACAGTCCTTGATGTGGTCAACATCACACCATACTTTTATAGACTGGTCAGTCCTTGGTGTGGTCAACATCACACATACTTTTATAGACTGGACAGTCCTTGATGTGGTCAACATCACACCATACTTTTATAGACTGGACAGTCCTTGATGTGGTCAACATCACACCATACTTTTATAGACTGGACAGTCCTTGATGTGGTCAACATCACACCATACTTTTATAGACTGGTCAGTCCTTGATGTGGTCAACATCACACCATACTTTTATAGACTGGTCAGTCCTTGATGTGGTCAACATCAAACCATACTTTTATAGACTGGACAGTCCTTGATGTGGTCAACATCACACCATACTTTTATAGACTGGTCAGTCCTTGATGTGGTCAACATCACACCATACTTTTATAGACTGGTCAGTCCTTGATGTGGTCAACATCACACCATACTTTTATAGACTGGTCAGTCCTTGATGTGGTCAACATCACACCATACTTTTATAGACTGGTCAGTCCTTGATGTGGTCAACATCACACCATACTTTTATAGACTGGTCAGTCCTTGATGTGGTCAACATCACACCATACTTTTATAGACTGGTCAGTCCTTGATGTGGTCAACATCACACCATACTTTTATAGACTGGTCAGTCCTTGATGTGGTCAACATCACACCATACTTTTATAGACTGGTCAGTCCTTGATGTGGTCAACATCACACCATACTTTTATAGACTGGTCAGTCCTTGATGTGGTCAACATCCCAGCAGCCACCTCTACTTCCTGGACTGGTCACTACCTAGTGTCCACTTAAGGCTGGGTTGACCTGGAAGCCAAGGTCATGTACGACAAAATCAGGCTCCCCATGGATCTGAACCAGTAGCCTGCGGATCTGCAGGTGACCATCTACCCATCACCCTACGGCTGCTCCACAGTCAAATGTAATGCTTTTCATCCTTGCAGTTTAACTCTTTGAGTCCCAAGGAAGGCATCATACGTTCATAAGTTCCTACCTAGAAGCCCAACGAATGCAAGATGCGCCAATTTTATTACTCTCTTTACTACCCCCTGGGCCTGTTATGCTAAACCCCCTGGGACTCAAAGAGTTAAGAAAAGATTTATCTTAGCAGTTGCCTTGACTCTGTGCAAAGCTTTAGATGTCACAAATTATATTACACTGGGCAATTAAAAAGAAGTTTGATTTCTGAAAACTGTTTAGTTAGAAAGGGTAACAAAATGATTGTTTTAGGATTTGTTTTAGAATTATTCAAACATAAATTGTTTAAACATGACAAGACACTCCTTCAGCACATCAGTAATGTTAATTATAGCTAACAACATTCTACTCAAGAGTAGAATATCTAAAACACAAGGACACATACTCAGCATGGTCTTCAGTCTGACGGCACACATGATGAAGTCACCAAAGTTGATCTGGCCACTCTTATCACTGTAGCGCATCACCAGCGACTTGAACGTTCCATTACTGATGTGGAAACCTGTGAATGATATTCAGTTTGTGGAATAAAAGTATTTTATTGCATAGTCTTCTACAAGCAAAGGCATCAATGACATCTGGTGTAGAGACTATTTCCATCACCGATCACAATCACATTTTTACTAGAGTCATTCACATGAAGCTCCGAGGGTGAACCAGGAAAGAAAATAAGATTTAAATGCAAAACAAGACCCCCCAACCCCCTCTCCTAAAAAAAAAAGAATAGATGATTCTAGGCTGCTTATGAATATGTTTTCCCAGTTTGTGTTCCATCGTTATTTTACTTATTTTCACATGAGCTCTTGTGCTTCAATTTTAAATCATTTCCATTGAAAATTGAAAATTAAAAAAAAAAAGCAACAACACAGACTGCTATTAAAAGCTCTGAGAATGTCATGAGCCTGAAACTGACTTCTGCTTTAATTACCATGGTGGAAGTCTGAGTTCAAACAAGGGAGATCAATCAGAATTCAAAACAAAAACAACAACAACAACAAGACATAAAGCTCTCTTCCATTCTCCAACCTGAGAAATCAGCCAGGTACGCCAGATCTTGATGTGATATATGATAGAATGTTACCTGCTAATGATTCAGCCCTGCATTCATGGACTGGTTGAGATTAAGCATAGATTGTCATGTTTTATACACAGATCTAAGATCAGGTCTTGGTCTAATCATGTATCTTCATGTCTGAGATTAGGCCTGGGTTGGTCATGTTTCATACACAGGTCTAAGATCAGGTCTTGGTCTTATCATGTATCTTCATGTCTGAGATTAGACCTGGATTGGTCATGTTTCATACACAGTTATCTTACTGCTGTCTTTCCAACTCAGGGCACAAATGGCTCACACAGTATAAAACTTCATTTTTAGAATATGCAGGTGATCACACTTAGAAAAATTAGATCAGGAAAATCTGGATCACAAAGGTGTACACAAAGAAGAAGAAATATGTTAGCAATATCTGGTCAATTAGAGTTGATTTAATTTGCTACATCTATGATCATGAAAATCTGACAAGGGTAAGTCAAGGGAAGTAACCAAACACTTACCAACATGGTTCAGTGCATTTCTAAGCTCATAGGATGATAAGTTGCCGCTGTTGTCTCTGTCAAACTCCTTGAACACTCCCTGTACAGGAAAACATTGTCAGCCACCACAAACAAGTCAGTACTAGAACAAGAACGTAGATCAGTGACACTGACACTTGCCAGCATTTGTATCATGCAAACCTCAACTGTGTTCCAACTCTAGTTGTGTAAACTCTGTCCAAGACATGGCAATATGCCTCATCTCCTTGTAGGATGCGATTGTTTTAAATTTTGAAACCCCACCCGGGTTCTTGCCAGGGGCCGCAATATAGCCCGGCCATAAATATGGCCTAATGGCTGAAAGCGGTTTCTGGGACCTCTCCATGGGTGATCCTCATCCACATGGTGGCACTTTGTGTCATTGGGTGTTTATCGCTTGTGTGATGTTCTCGTGGGGTAAAATGTACTACTACTACTGGCACTTCTGTTCTAACTCTAGTTTTGTAAACTCTTTCTAGGACATTGTGTGCTTAAAACAAGTGAGTTTTGTCTCTTTCAGTTTTCACAAATATATTTAAAGTTTCAAGTTAGTTATTCTACACACAGTATTGTTATAATATAAAGACATGGAGAAATCATTATAAAGTATAATATCAAATAAAGTTAACGAAAGTTATCCCATTACTCTGGCAGATGTTGTCTAGAGAGTATTCCTGGAAGGCTTCTGATGAGAAACAGAACAATGAATGATAACACAATCTGTGACCAGCTGTATTTCTGTATTGTAGTAAATCAGCAGCAAAGATCCTCCTGGAGTCAGCTGACCCTGGTGTCCTCTGATAAAGACAACACCCCTCAAGCTGGTAAGGAACTCTTCAGTCTCTTCTTGCCTTCTTCATGGGCAACTACTCTGGGGTCCTTACAAAATGATGACTTTCTGTCCTTGCATGTTGTTACAGACATGTAGATACCACCCTGAAAATTGTCTCCCCTCTCTTTCACTATCTAGGCAGTCTGTGTAGGTCAGCCTTTCACTATCTAGGCAGTCTGTGTAGGTCAGCCTTTCACTATCTAGGCAGTCGGTGAAGGTTAGCCTTTCACTATCTAGGCAGTCTGTGAAGGTCAGCCTTTCACTATCTAGGCAGTCTGTGTAGGTCAGCCTTTCACTATCTAGGCAGTCTGTGTAGGTCAGCCTTTCACTATCTAGGCAGTCTGTGTAGGTCAGCCTTTCACTATCTAGGCAGTCTGTGTAGGTCAGCCTTTCACTATCTAGGCAGTCTGTGAAGGTTAGCCTTTCACTATCTAGGCAGTCTGTGTAGGTCAGCCTTTCACTATCTAGGCAGTCTGTGTAGGTCAGCCTTTCACTATCTAGGCAGTCTGTGTAGGTCAGCCTTTCACTATCTAGGCAGTCGGTGAAGGTCAGCTCTTGATGCTGATCATTATACTGTAACCCAGTCGAGCTGATTCAGTCAGTACAATTGTTGTTGTTATAGTTGGATGTTCAGTCACTGTCTTTGCAGAAAGTCATTTGCAGTCGAAACACACATGGATTTAAACAAAACATTTTGAAAACATAGTTCTTTCTTTCCCTTTTTCACACACTCACACATATATACACACACAGAAAGAGAGAGAGAGAAAGAAAGAGAGAGAGAAAGAAAGAGAGAAAGAAAGAGAAAGAAAGAAAGAAAGAGAGAGAGAATGAAAGAAAGAGAAAGAAAGAGAGAGAAAGAGAGAAAGAAAGAAAGAGAGAGAAAGAGAGAGAGAGAGAGAGCTGTCAGTACCTTCCATCGCCTGAGATCATCCCACAGCTCCTTGAACTCTTCGTAGCCAAGTTTACCAGAAAGGTCGCCCTGGACACTGAGTCAGGAATTGTAACTTCCATGTCTGTATATGTGAGTTTCATAAGTACATGCATATGTGTGTTCCATATTTATGTGCGGGTTTCATACATGTATGTTCCCAGTGTTGGTTCAGGGGCCTCGTTCGGGATGGGGAATGGACCCACTGCCCATCTTTCAAGCATGTCATAGGAGTAAACTAACTAGGGGTATCCTTCACATGTCATAGATGCAGCACTCAGGTCACTTTCCGTTGTTCGTCTCCCTATTGTTTTTGGGCGCCCCTTTTTTCTCTTTCCCTCTGGTGTCCATGTGAGCGCTGTTTTGGCAGGTATATCAGAATTCATTTTCATGATGTGGCCAAGCCATTTTGATCTTCTCTTTGTTTTCATACTGTCTAGAGCTTCTTGGTTTGTGTCTTGAAGTAGTTTAATGTTTGAGATTGTATCTAGTCAGAAAATTTTGATAATTCTATTTAGACGTGAGTGGTGGAAGGTGGACAGCTTGTGTACATCCTTTTTGGTAATTCTCCAGCATTTGCAGTCAAAACACACATGGATTTAAACAAAACATGTTGAAAACATAGTTCTTTCTTTCTCTTTTTCAAACACTTACACAAACACACACACACACACACACACACACACACACACACAGAGAGAAAGAGGGAGAGAAAAGAAAGAGAGAGAGAGGAAGAAAGAGAGAGAAAGAAAGAAAGAGAGAGAGAAAGAAAGAAAGAGAGAGAGAGAGAAGGACTGGTAAAATGATGCTCTTGTAGAGTCAGAGTTTTGTTCCTCTGCATAAGTCTGTGTGGGTGTATCTGTATGCATCTATGCCCAATTTATGTATGTGTGTGTTTGTGTCTGTCTCTGTGCATCTGTGTGTGTGTCTGCATGTGTGACTGGGAGTACGTCTGTCTCTGTGCATCTGTGTGTGTGTCTGCATGTGTGACTGGGTGTATGTCTGTCTCTCTTAGTGTGAATATGTGTGTGTATCTGTCTGTCTTTGTGTGTCTATATGTGTATGCCTGTCTGTGTGTGCATAACTCTGTGTGTTTGTCTGTGTGTGCTTATCTCTGAGTGTGTGTTTGTGTATGTATGGTGTGTGTATGTATGTGAGTTTATTGATGTTTGTATTTGTATATGCATGCATGTATGTACGTACGTGTGTCTGTGTGGTATGTATGCATGTATATCTGTATGTGTGTATGCGTGCATACATGTATGCATGTATGTGTGTGTCTGTGTGGTATGAATATATGTATGAGTGTATGCATGCATCTATGTATGTACTTACGTGTGTCTTTGTGATATGTATGTATGTGTGTATGCGCGCACGCATGCATGCATGTATGTATGTATGAACATACGTGTGTAGGTATGTATGCATGTTTGTATGTTTGAATGTACGTACCTACCTACCTACCTACCTACCTACCTACCTACCTACCTACCTACCTACCTCCCGCCCGCCAGCCCGCCCGCCCGCCCGCCCGCACGCACGCACACACGCACGCACGCACGCACGCACGCATGCACGCACACACACACAGAGAGAGAGAGAGAGAGAGAGAGAGAGGGAGAGAGGGAGGGAGGGAGGGAGGGAGGGAGGGAGAGAGAGAGAGAGAGAGAGAGAGAGAGAGAGAGAGAGAGAGAGAGAGAGGGGAAATAAATGAATGAACAGACTTCATTTTCACAAGGTTGCAAATTGGGCACGCCGCAGGCCCGTCTTACATTTGGCCCTTTTAACATCCACATTTCACATAGCAGTTTTATTTTGTCAACAAAGCATGTTATGATCATATAATAATTATGTGAGTATGCATGTATGTATGTATGTGGGTGTGTATGTATGTAGGAGTATGTATGTGGATGTGTAAGTGAGTGAATGAATGGGCGTGTGTATGTGGGCATGTGTGCACGTGCGCGTGAGTGTGCCCATACATTTTACCACCCATGCTTTTCTATTTTTTCTTGGTATTTGTAATATGCATATTATTATATGATCATAGTATGCTTTGTTGTTAAAATACAACTGTTGTGTGAAAGGTGGGTGTTTGGAAGGGTCAAATGTAAGACGGGTCTGTGTGCCTAATTTGCAACTCATTGAAAATGAAGTTTGTTCGTTCAATCGTTTGTTTTCTCTCACACATTAACCAAAAAAAAAAAAAAGAGAGAGAGAAAGTGAGAAAATGAGAGACAGAGAGAGACAGAGGCAAATCATTGTATTTTTTGATAAACCTGATAACACAGTCTGATAAATGTAACAAGACATAATGAATACTGGCACTCTGAAAGTGCCAGACAAAAAAGGATACATCATGCATTGCCACCATGCTCCTGGCACAGTCAATTCCAAACCCGGGAAAAGCAAATTCTGAAAACAGAAAATGAAGTCATCAGTAACGGTCAGTAAATATACATAAACACTCACACATACCAACACCTACATTTGGGATTGTTTCATGTGACCTTCAACTGCACAAATGACACACCAAAACCTAACATATAAAATATCTCCTGTGACCTTCAGCTGCACAAACAACACACCAACACCTAACATATAAAATATCTCCTGTGACCTTCAGCTGCACAAACAACATACCAAAACCTAACATATAAAATATCTCCTGTGACCTTCAGCTGCACAAACAACATACCAACACCTAACATATAAAATATCTCCTGTGACCTTCAACTGCACAAACAACATACCAACACCTAACATATAAAATATCTCCTGTGACCTTCAACTGCACAAACAACATACCAACACCTAACATATAAAATATCTCCTGTGACCTTCAGCTGCACAAAATGACTACAGAGAACTATCAGAAAGTAGAAAATAAGCTTCTAGATTGCTATAATTAGTGTTTAACACCTGTATGATACAGTCAAAATACATCACAATTTGTCACCTAACACTTGGGAAGAAGTTCAACAGTATGGATAATTATAGTTACAGTGGCCAATTGGTAGGCACACATCAACTTTGTTCTCACTCACAATACTTCCTATGAAAAGAAAAACAAAGGGCCCTTTTCCATGTCTGTGAGCATATAGGGCTAGACCTACATTTGATTCACTAATCATCACTTGGAAAGGGGGGGGGGGTGGGTGATATGAACAGCAAAAAGCCTTTCCAGGACTTTACCTGGTACCAGTTTGAGGCTCTGTCAACCCGGAAGCCAAGGTCATTTATGAAAAAAAGTCCAGCTCTATCAAGACTTGAACCCACGACCGTTGGATCCGCAGTGCCACATAAAAGTTCTTATTCCATTTATAGATAAACATTATTCCATTTATAGATAAACATTATTCCATTTATAGACTCTTGTAGCCTTTGAAATAAGTTTTCCCATTAAACAGGTAATCATTGGCAGTGTCATGCTTCCCTTGTTTAAAGTCAGTTTTATCTTGAGGTCAGCTCTGCAGGCAGAGTTCAACTAATGTAATACCCCCGTGTGGGTTCCGGGGCCCCATTGTAGGGAAAACAAGAACAGACACACTGCCTTCCCAAAAGCATGTCGTAAGAGTCAACTAATTGGGGAGCTTTCTTTAAAGTCGGAGTGCATCTGCCGGAGAGGCAAGGAACCAACAGTCTGTATTCAAGAGAATGAGATCTGTAAAACTGATGCACAGGCAACACTCAGGTTCTGGAGCAGGACTGCAGTTCAGTGGTGGACGAGCAACCAGAACTTTCCACCAGAGTGTACAGCTGGTGAACGCAAAGAAGAAGAAGAGGAACTAATGTAATAGCACACTCTTTGAGGTTCATACAGCAGTAGTTTCAACATGTGGCATTGAAATGTTGACATGTGGTGTGCATATGTTGGTATGGTTAACTTCATTGTTATCATGTGTCTGTCATGTGGATAACTGTGGGAAGTCTCAACCAATCACAAGTTTCCAACCAGGACTTTGTCCTTGTCCTGACTACATCATATGGCTCAGCCATCCAACCTGGGCTATGTCCTTGTCCTGACTACATCATGTGGCTCAGCCATCCAACCTGGGCTATGTCCTTGTCCTGACTACATCATATGGCTCAGCCATCCAACCATGACTATGCCCTTGTCCTGACTACATCATATGGCTCAGCCATCCAACCATGACTATGCCCTTGTCCTGACGACATCATGTGGCTCAGCCATCCAACCTGGGCTATGTCCTTGTCCTGACTACATCATGTGGCTCAGCCATCCAACCTGGGCTATGTCCTTGTCCTGACTACATCATGTGGCTCAGCCATCCAACCATGACTATGTCCTTGTCCTGACTACATCATATGGCTCAGCCATCCAACCTGGGCTATGTCCTTGTCCTGACTACATCATGTGGCTCAGCCATCCAACCTGGGCTATGTCCTTGTCCTGACTACATCATATGGCTCAGCCATCCAACCATGACTATGTCCTTGTCCTGACTACATCATATGGCTCAGCCATCCAACCTGGGCTATGTCCTTGTCCTGACTACATCATATGGCTCAGCCATCCAACCTGGGCTATGTCCTTGTCCTGACTACATCATATGGCTCAGCCATCCAACCAGGACTATGTCCTTGTCCTGACTACATCATGTGGCTCAGCCATCCAACCTTGGCTATGTCCTTGTCCTGACTACATCATGTGGCTCAGCCATCCAACCTGGGCTATGTCCTTGTCCTGACTACATCATGTGGCTCAGCCATCCAACCTGGGCTATGTCCTTGTCCTGACTACATCATGTGGCCCAGGCATGCAACCAGGACTATATCCTTGTCCTGACTACATCATGTGGCTCAGCCATCCAACCTGGGCTATGTCCTTGTCCTGACTACATCATGTGGCTCAGCCATCCAACCTGGGCTATGTCCTTGTCCTGACTACATCATGTGGCTCAGGCATGCAACCTGGGCTATGTCCTTGTCCTGACTACATCATGTAGCTCAGGCATGCAACCAGGACTATATCCTTGTCCTGACTACATCATGTGGCTCAGGCATGCAACCTGGGCTATATCCTTGTCCTGACTACATCATGTGGCTCAGGCATGCAACCTGGGCTATATCCTTGTCCTGACTACATCATGTGGCTCAGGCATGCAACCTGGGCTATGTCCTTGTCCTGACTACATCATGTGGCTCAGGCATGCAACCAGGACTATATCCTCGTCCTGACATCATGTGGCTAAGCCATCCAAGTGTTCAACTCTTTGAATTTCACTTCCCATCTTGTTTTCAACCATCATTAAACTTTCTAGTAAATTACTCCTGTCTCTCAACACAACTAAAAACCATTCTGCTACAGTATGTGACGAGGCACAGCTGGTTACATCATGGGGCTCAGCCATCTAAGTATTCAGCTATTTCAATTCTCCTTGCTCTTTTCCCCTTAATTTTGTCAACTGTCATTATATTTTCAAGAAACTTTAATACAACTGATAACTCAAAAACAACCTTTCTTAATGGACTGCTGCAGAGTGGTACAAGGTAAAAACATCCATATACTGAGGAAGGTATGTGACAAGGTAGTAACATCCATTCACTGAGGGAGGTAGAGAAAGTATGGATGTGCCACAGGTGCCTAATGCAGTGGTCACCAATGTATAAAAAAGAAGGGTGGGGGGGGGGGAGCTTGGGGGGGGGGGGGGGGGGGGGCAAGCAATTTGAAATTATGTGCACTTGTAATTATCTGGTTTTTCAGCTTCAACAGTCATGAAAATAAAACAGTGCTGCAGCTTGACGTGGACAGTGGTCTCTGATGTGCTCTATCCAACATCAGACCAAACTCTCAGATATCAAGAAAAACACTTTGACTGATGTGCTCTATCCAACATCAGACCAAACTCTCAGATATCAAGGCAGAACACTTTGACTGATGTGCTCTATCCAACATCAGACCAAACCAGCAGATATCAAGACAAAACACTTTGACTGATGTGCTCTATCCAACATCAGACCAAACTCTCAGATATCAAGACAAAACACTTTGACTGATGTGCTCTATCCAACATGAGACCAAACTCTCAGATATCAAGACAAAACACTTTGACTGATGTGCTCTATCCAACATCAGACCAAACTCTCAGATATCAAGACAAAACACTTTGACTGATGTGCTCTATCCAACATCAGACCAAACTCTCAGATATCAAGGCAGAACACTTTGACTGATGTGCTCTATCCAACATCAGACCAAACTGGCAGATATCAAGACAAAACACTTTGACTGATGTGCTCTATCCAACATCAGACCAAACTCTCAGATATCAAGGCAGAACACTTTGACTGATGTGCTCTATCCAACATCAGACCAAACTGGCAGATATCAAGACAAAACACTTTGATTTATGTGGGTGTATTTTTGTTTCTCCAAGTTCTTGTCAACATTACTTTGGATTTTTCTTTCTGTACTACTCTTTTAACATTTTTGTTATGTTAGGGTGGGGGGTGTCTTGCATATTCTCTGGCGGTGGGGGTGGGGGGCGTCTTGGCATATTCTCTGGGGGGGGGGGGGGGGGGGGGGGGAAGGGGGCACCTGAGACCACAGGCCTAATGCCAGATCAATAAACTAACAATTACCAGAACACTGACACAAGAAGATATTTCTGTACTGTGAGATTTCTTGTTCTCTGATGTAACAACACCTTCAACAAATCCTACAACATATACAGTGTTTAATATTTAGTTCTTCTGTCCGTACTCTCAGACCTTTTTTCACTTGATCCACTACAAACACAAACAAGGTTTCACACTAGAAGCAACTGTGTTCTGAGTAAGATGAATTTAGAAAATTCACATTCAGAATAAAATGGTTACAAAATGTAACATTTATGATCTGGATGTACTTAGAAACATATTTTATTATGAAATGGAAAAAATCCTGATGTAAGAAAGGGAAGGTTGGGAAAACAACAACATATAAACATATGTATATTTGTGCATAAGTTAGCATGTGTGAGTGCGCATATGTGTGTGGTGTGTGTGCGTGTGCGTGCATGTGTGTGTGTCTTCTAGCAAATGAAACAAATATAACATAGATGCTTGGGAGGTTGAAAATGAAGAATATCTGGATGTAACTATAATTATTCAAATATATGTGTTGAGAAGAAATGATGGCACAGTGGATGGCCTAACTGCCTACCAAGTCAATGATACATGGTCAATATCTAGCAGTGGCACAAATATTGTCTTCAGCCGGGACCAACTCACAAAGGTGTACAATGATTTAAAATAAAGATCATTGACAAATTTAGAATGCTGATGTGTAAATATTTGCCCAGTCAGCCATTGGTATAATCTGTTTAAGTAAAGTGGAATGGCCAGATTTAAAAGTAAAACATGCAGAATAATATGCCAGTCTGTGTTGGAAATAATTAGTGTTGATAAAAAAGATTGCAGATAAAAGGAAGAAAAATGAATTAATTAATGCAATTAAAATAAATTCTACTGTCTTTATGTGAATTCATAAATAAATTTCACAACATACAAATTTGGAATTTAACAAATTTTAAGGGTAAAATGAAAATAAAATAGAACTTTCTTTAATTCTTTTTCAGTCTTGAAATAAACTCATTGCTCAAGTCATAGATTCTTTTCTTTAAGATGAGAACATATCTGAATGTTGTCTACAAGCTGATGAGTTGAATGTGTTTCTTTAGTGTCTATCTATATTTTTATGTTGTCTACAGTTATGTAGTTTCAACTGAGTTTGTTGTCTGGTGTATTATAAACACATTGTATTCCCTAATGCAGTCACTGGTGACACCGAAAAACTTCTCATTGTTTAACATGTCCCTTCACTTCAGTCAGTTGTGACGTTCAACAAATTTGCATTGTTTTACAAGTTCCCTTCACTTTTTAGGAACTTTGTTGGTGTGGTTAGTGTACTCCACAAACAGGTTTTGTTCCCCCACAGTGGCCAGTGTGTTTTTTTAAAAAGTCAGCTATGCCCTGAGTAGTTAAACTCAGTCACATAAAATGATTACCAGATAATTTTCAAAACTGTTTGTTAAAATACTGCCCATCCCATCTTATTAAGCCAAAGTTTTGATGTATGCAGGTCTGAAGCTTCACAAGCCAAAATCATTGTTTGTGACAGGGCTGCCATTTTTAATCATCAGATAATGGCTTTTGCAATTAAGGTTTAGTTCATCCTCAAATTAGCCACCGCTAATTTCAATATCATTATCATCATCAACATCCAATGAAGGTTTATGTTGAGAATCTCAAAAATGTCTGTTCTGCATGTTCTTTGTTAGGCTTCATTTAATGACATACCACATCTCTATTTATACAAGTGATACTTTCTAGTCCTTTTTTTAAACCTATATGCTCCTTCCTTTATTATATTCAGTTGATCATTTGGCGTGAGCAAAATACCCTTTCTTTGTTTATTTACAGCATTCTTTTTATATTAAGATCTATTTAATGCCTTACAAACTGCCAATCAACACATAAAGTATAGGTAGTTTTACTGCTTGTTTTGTAATAACATAGAGAGAACAAAATTAAAGAATAAACTGTGAGCCTTATGTGACATTAAACAGCAGAAACAGATAATGATGATGATGATGATTGCAAGAAAACAAATTTGTGGAGAATTACAGAAAGGACAAATCTGGATCACATCAAATATAGGTTGAGGGAATAACAAATATGACTGAATCAACAGGAATGACGACCATAAATGTAGAAAATGTTTCCATTCAGGAAAGGAGTAATGGGGAAATAATGCTGTTGTGAAATATTTGGTCAGCAATGGCTTACCAGTGACATGGTCTGCAAGACAAGAGAAAACCTGATGAAATGTGTGTTTGTAATGTGAAAATGGCAGCTGAAACATGTGTGAGTGAAATAAAAAAGAAAACTTGCATGTTTACTTTCCCTAAGTTGTTATCTAACCAGGTCATCAAGATTAGCATCATTTTTGCTTTAGGTAAGCTCCCCTTGACCTTCGTCTTGAAAAGCATGTTCCACCTTGATAAGTACACCTCACCCTCCCAATTATATCCATGATGAATAAATCCCTCTTTTCATCCTTGATAAGCAAGCTAGTTCTGTCCTTGATGAGACGTTCTCTTATCACTATTCTCTGCCACTGGGCAGAAACCACAATAAAATAACAGATAGCCAATGATTGCTTCTGATATAGGTCTTGCCATACAGTATGGTGCTGTAAAAATCTCTGTTGGCTACTACATATTGATCTCTTCAGAAAATCGTGAACAGAGATGAGGACACAACTACTAACATCAGTACCTGTCACTGACACTCTACTAACATCAGTATCTGTCACTGACACACTACTAACATCAGTATCTGTCACTGACACACTACTAACATCAGTACCTGTCACTGACACACTACTAACATCAGTACCTGTCACTGACACACTACTATCATCAGTATCTGTCACTGACACACTACTATCATCAGTATCTGTCACTGACACACTACTAACATCAGTATCTGTCACTGACACACTACTAACATCAGTATCTGTCACTGACACACTACTATCATCAGTACCTGTCACTGACACGCTACTATCATCAGTACCTGTCACTGACACACTACTAACATCAGTACCTGTCACTGACACACTACTATCATCAGTATCTGTCACTGACACACTACTATCATCAGTATCTGTCACTGACACACTACTAACATCAGTACCTGTCACTGACACACTACTAACATCAGTACCTGTCACTGACACACTACAATCATCAGTATCTGTCACTGACACACTACTATCATCAGTATCTGTCAGTGACACACTACTAACATCAGTACCTGTCACTGACACACTACTAACATCAGTAACTGTTACTGACACACTACTAACATCAGTACCTGTCACTGACACACTACTAACATCAGTATCTGTCACTGACACACTACTAACATCAGTATCTGTCACTGACACACTACTAACATCAGTACCTGTCACTGACACACTACTAACATCAGTATCTGTCACTGACACACTACTAACATCAGTACCTGTCTGACACACTACTAACATCAGTATCTGTCACTGACACACTACTATCATCAGTATCTGTCACTGACACACTACTAACATCAGTATCTGTCACTGACACACTACTATCATCAGTAGTTGTCACTGACACACTACTATCATCAGTATATGTCACTGACACACTACTAACATCAGTATCTGTCACTGACACACTACTATCATCAGTAGTTGTCACTGACACACTACTAACATCAGTATCTGTCACTGACACACTACTATCATCAGTAGCTGTCACTGACACACTACTAACATCAGTAGCTGTCACTGACACACTACTATCATCAGTATCTGTCACTGACACACTACTAACATCAGTACCTGTCACTGACACACTACTATCATCAGTATCTGTCACTGACACACTACTATCATCAGTATCTGTCATTGACACACTACTATCATCAGTATCTGTCACTGACACACTACTATAATCAGTACCAGTCACTGACTTTGGCATCAGCAAAGTACAATGTCAAATGAGCTTGTCCTGAGCAGTCACACTGTAACCTTCACCTCAGACTTGGACACAACTAGAACCACTGCGCTGACAAACCTTCAACAAGGGCTGGAGCTTATCCGTAAACGTTGTTTAATTTGGTAAGAAAGACAATGAAGCACTAGTTTACCTTTGGTGAACACAGAATTGAGAATATCCTGAAGCTCGTAGGCATCGATTTCCATGTCTTCCCCAGCAATTTTGCGGAAACTCTGCTTCAGGACCTCAGCCTGATTACGTTCCTGCTCTGTGGGTTCTGGCCGCTCCTGGAAAACAAAACAAGTAGACCATGACAACATGGGCTGATGATCACAGCCCCAGGGACCAACAAGATGGTCTTCCGACACTGACTGTAAGAGCATCAGTGGAATCACATAATAATAATCACATATTAACTTGTATGCAAAACAAACAGGCAGCTGATGCTACAAAAATTAAACAGTAATTTTATGGTTAATTACTGTATAATGCACATTGTACATAAAACAAATATAAGAAATTTACGCAAGTTTCAAGATGAATTTTACCAATTGAAAACAGAAGGTTGCGTGTACCAAGAGTAATGGCATTTTTGTGTGACATTTTCAACACTATCTATGTTTGTGTACATGCAAATGTAAGCAGGCAGTGATGCATTTATGGCTTTGACAATTTTATAGCATAGAAAATCATATTAAAGACATACTCTGGCACATAATGTTATAACATTATGAACTTTTTATTTGTAAACATCTAGAAATGTCATTGGTTTCGAAACTTTAAAACAAAAGATTCAACATTTTCAAATAAATAATAATGAAGGTACTAATTTCTATAAAATGCAAAAAGAGAGACATCTTTTGTAACAAAACAGTATTGCCCTTAATCCTGTGAATGACAAAAATTTCACTAAACAACCTTTAGCAGTCACATTTATGGCAGATATTTAACACTTTGTAGCTTCAGCTGAAAACACTTGTGCTCACATAACCAAACTTAGGGCAGACATGTTTTACCTTCTGGTTCCTGTAGCCGACACTTGTGGCACACATTGTTAATTGTAGCCAGCATGTGTTGCCAATAGTTGACTTTTGGTTTGTCAAATAAGGCAAACAATGTGAAATTATGACATCAAATGACAGTTATCACACAAATAAGTAGTAATGTTATTACTTCTGTTATTACTTCACATTACAAAATTCAGTAAGAGTTATTTAATTGACATTTCTGTTAATAAAATAAAAAAAGCAGCTGCTGACATGACATGAAGTTAATACAAGCTGAAATTAATGACTGTCAGTGTTGACATCTTTCTTGTCTAGAAGAGACTGACTTCTGTCACATGTCTCTGACATGGCAGTTCCCTGTTTCCTTGACACTGCTTCTGATCTACATTATTTACTCTGAATTATTTTCATTAACAAATATTTGCCATAGCAGCAAGGGAATACAGAACTCCAAAATATCCTTCCCAGAACTGTCCACTAAACGAATGAAACATGGTTCATCTCACAGTGCAAGGTTTACAAAGAAAAAGCTGAGATATTTAGAATGTTACAAGATAAAGAAACTTTATATGTGCAGAGTTAAAAAAAAAAAAAACTACATCACAAATCACACTAGTGTGGATCCAACATAGAGTAGCCATGTTTACAGCTGTCTTGAACCTCTTTCTTCTGTGCTGAAACATGAGGATGTTAACATTCTTCTGGTTAGCTGACCACAAGGTTAATGCATTCTTGGCTAGTTTCAATCTTGACTCAAACACAGTTCAGCAGAAGATCACTTGGTTATACTTGCAGAATGTTGACTAGTAAGTCGTTAAATACAATCAGTCTATTCAGGAATTTCATACTTCATTTATCTGTCTTCAAATTGGCTGCTACAAAAAAAAAAACAACACGAGACAACAGTCAAGGAATGAAGCCAATTAATATTTTGCTAAAGAAAAAGAAATCACTGAAGGATTTCACTTTTTCAGTCTCATTCACTTAGAAATAATTTAATTAACCTGGAAACAGCCCGGTGCGCTAGCTAAGTTGATTAAACCAGCTGTGCGACAACCGGGTGACAAACTCTTTGTGGTCTCAGTTCACGCTCAAGGGTAGCAAAAAAGCCACATATCTCCCATATTTATGGTATCCATCATGGAATTAAGGCCAAAGGGTTGCGATATCCACGGGACCAAGCCAAACAGTTTCTGGATCCAATAAAAAAATTCAATCCTAGCAGCAAACAACACATTAGCTTGCCCTTGAATCCCAAACACCACGCCATGTGTCCTCTGGTGTTTACACTAGGTCAGAGTGTACTAAATAAATATGGGTTTGCCTGCGGCCACTTTTACTAATTATTTTGCCATATTGACAGTACTCTGGATTCCCCCCCCCCCCCCCCCTCCCCCCATGTTTTTTAATTTGTTATTTCCTGCCTGGGAAAGCAGCAGTGAAACTGTTCGGGGACAGAAGAAATTCACAGTGAAAGTGGGACTATAAAGAAAGATGTTGATAGGGCTACCAGTAAAGCTCTTGATATGATGACTCAAGAGTGGAAGTACAGTATGTAACTAAAAGCAATTTAAGCTGCATTGTTATAACAGCCAGTCTGAAATACATACATGTTAATATTGTTAGACAACTACAACTGACACAGTTGCAACTGTTAGCCATTGACACAACTTACTCTTCTTTTCTTTGGGGCATTTTTGGCCTACATGAATAAAACATCAGTACAGGTGAGAACTAGTACACAATAAATCAAGGTGAGGTCAAAGGTAACACAAATCAGGTCAAGTTCAAGTAATTCTTAGAGAACAAATATCAGTATGTGACCTATATTTCTTCGAAACATTTTATTCAAAGGTTTTCTTCTGATAAAAGTATTACACCACTCGATAAAGAAGCTTGCCCTCCTATTTCTAACAAGATTGTTATTTCTGAATATCATGGCATCATTATATAGCTGATCCTTTGCTCTCATCTCGGTCTGCCTAACATAAACTCAATCACTCCCCAGCTCTGCCGCCTTGTACACTTTCATATCTACAGAGTCACTGATATCTTCGTGCCGATCAGCTCCTGCCATTTTTCCTGTACTATGCCTTCTGTAAGCCAAATTTCATGTACCTTAGATTTAATTTCATTATCCTAACTGTCTTCTTGAGGTTGTCAGTTACACTTTCAAGACTATCTGATCAAACTGTGTGTAATTTCCTTCTAATCATGTCTCAAGTAATTTCCCTCCAATCATGTCTCATGTAATTTCCCTCCAATCATGTCTCCATGTGACTTTCTATCTGCACGACAACAACAGGGAATCAGTATTAACCGTTTTGAATTCAGATATTTTGCTGCTTAGTTTTAATGCTCTTACCCCGGTGCTAGTTGAAGCTCTAAAGTTTCTTTAAATTTAAAAAAAACTGATTCCATACATTTGTTTATTGTTAATATGCTCTTCCTTGTGTTCTCACTGATATATTGCTAAAGGTGTTTTATTTGTTTATCTGACAGGTGTTATCACACACAAACTATAAACTTCACATTTTATTCTACACAGAATATACTACCACACAGAAACCACAAATCCCACACATTTTAATCAAGTATCTGCTACCAGAGAAATCACAAACACAGTTTACTCCTAATAGTATCAATTTCCCACCGAGATAAGCACAACCACAGGTAACCTTGTCTTCTACATGCATACAAAACATCACTGTCAGACATTTTCACATGTGATGTAGCCTCCAAAAATACCTTTCCTAAACAGTTTATAATAAATTTTAAAAAAAAATTTTTCAAACAATTTGTGGGAAAATGTGTTTATATTTAAAAAGAGTAGTAAAAAAAAAAGGCTTTCCTTTTTTGCTTTTGGACACATTAACAGAACCAAATGTTGAAGTACTTGGGTAGCCTGATAACATCAGATGGAAAGAAGAAGTTAAATATAGAATAGCTCAAACAAAGGCAGCATTTCACAAAATGAAGAATATTTTATGTAATCTTTCTTTGTCAGTTGAGATGAACAAGAGAATTTTTTTAAAGCTATATAAATTATATCTTGATATATGGAAGTGAATCATGGACGGTTGGTAGATTGGTGATAAATTATTTGGATGCTGTCCAGGAATAGTTTTATAGATGAATGCTGAGAATTCCCTGAAAAGATAAAAAGAGTAATGAGGATTTCTGAAAAGAAACTCACTCACGAAGAGAACTGATTGCCCACATCAGAAAGATGTGGTCATGTGATGAGAAAGAGAAAACTGGAGTACATCGTAAAAGTAGGAAAGTTGGAGGGGAGGAGAGGCAGAGGGAGACCGAGAGAACAGATGCTGGGCAGCCGGACATTATGACATGGAAGATCATCTGTGTCAGAGTTGACTGAAAGTACATGAGACAGAAAGTTGTGGATAGACATGACTACCAATGCCACACGAAATGGACTTTAAGACAAGCAGAACCCAGGTTTGCAGACACTTTAATGCAGAATTAAATGCAACTGGCCTTCCATGAAGGTGTCTCAAATAAAAGCTTATGCCAGGTAATAGACACCAAAATAAAGTTTCCAAAAATTTAAAACTAACAAAACATTTGTTAAAGCAAACTGTAAATAGCTTCTAAGGAAGAGAACTCTGGAAGAGAAGTCACATGTGAGTACATGTTGGCCTATGTCAGTTGCACACCACACAGTCATACTTCTTACTTGGTCACTTCTATTGGAAAAAATCAACCATTACCTGATCTGGGGTATTATATGCAGGTGCCACATTGTACGCTGAAATGTTGTCGCCAGAGTCCCGAGCCAGGAAGAGCAAATCAAATAATTATTGACTTCCAAATTTGTTAGTCATCATTTCATGGCTCACAGCATTTGGTCAACATATGGTTATGTTTGTGTCATCCAAATAAAATAAAAAAAATAAAAACACACACACATTGGGGTAAATTAGTGCTAGGTATCTAACTCACGCTTATCTTTTAACCCAAACATCATGTACCTTCAAGTCCTCTTGATGGAAGAATGATATCTTTTAACCCAAACATCATGTACCTACAAGTCCTCTTGATGGAAGAATGATATCTTTTAACCCAAACATCATGTACCTACAAGTCCTCTTGATGGAAGAATGATATCTTTTAACCCAAACATCATGTACCTACAAGTCCTCTTGATGGAAGAATGATATCTTTTAACCCAAACATCATGTACCTACAAGTCCTCTTGATGGAAGAATGATATCTTTTAACCCAAACATCATGTACCTACAAGTCCTCTTGATGGAAGA